CCATCGGTCTCGAGAAACCTTGGATATGCGCCCAAGGAGTTATGCATCAGTTGCTTATGGCGGTGCACAGGGCAATACGGGAGTAAGAGACTCGATTGCTGTGAATGCATCTGAAGGCGCTCTATTCCGATATCCCCCTGTGTTCTTTACGTGGGGTATGCTTCTCCCCGGCAGCAAGCTTTCGTTTCTTCTCCCCTCGTTCCAAACCTATATCTCCAGCGTATGCGATCGTTGGCGACCTCTTCCCACCTCTCGATATCCATGTAAATCGCCCTCATGTCCCTTTTGCAGACTTCATTGAAGCGACGATGAGTTCACCCTCGTGCCTTCTCTCCGGTGGCCAGATCCCCGTACAGAAACACATGCGATGTACGGAGCCGCCGTTGTTGCAGAAGGGCGTATAGGCTAGGTAACTGGACACGGACGAGAAGTATGGTATTGGGGATCCGCTCGGACTAATTGATGCCCAGAATGCATCTCAGACAGCGAAGATGAAAGGCGCTGAGGCGTTTCTGCTGTCTGAAGTAGAAGCTCCAAGTCTCGTTGCCGCTAAACAGCACGCTGACGACGCATGGAATATAGATTGCAATTTTGGTGTTCGTACTATGCTTTCTGTTATCTCAGGCTCTCCACGTTAGCCTGGCTCACGTTATGGCATCATGTTAACCTCAGTGTGTAGAAAGAGGTGGATTATTATTATACTATACGATAGATACAGTAATTATTTAAGGTCATGCGTTGGATGGAATTTATCTCTCTTTATTCCATAATAATTGTCATATTTCTATAGTAACATATCTCACATCCGTGGGGATAAATATCATGCAAAATACGTTCTTGCTTAGTTTGTACGTCTATACGGTTGATATTTCTCAATGGAAGCCATTGTATCTGGCAGAGACCTTATTCTTTTGTTCGTTGAATGACCAACTTCGAACACATTTCAATTTCAATAATATTTTACTGGAATACAGCAACACTTAATTTTAAGGATACTGCGTATATTTAAATGTTACATGTTATTTATCTGCAATTTTAATGAAATAATTGATATTTTTTTTTAGAAGTGAATTGTTATAATAGAAACTTAACCCTTCCGGCTATCCTCACACAGTTTAATCGGCAGGTCGATGGCGTTGACCGGAGTGTGGCTATGCGACTTCTTAGAGCAATTCATTCTGCTAGAAATTTGGAAACGGCATGCTGTACTTCTTGGCATTCTCGCCGGAAGCTTCAATATAAACATTTCAGAGTGTTTGGGTGTCAACCCGAGGACAGTAAAGAGAATTCGAACACAGTTGGATGGATCTAATGGTGATTACGGAAGCTAGGAAAACTCACTCTGATCGTTCTGATAAGAAAAAAATTCACGAATTTGTGGGTAAGAGCCCCAGCCTCAACACGGAGGCCTACATCAAGTGACTTGAGGAGTTATTGCTGCCCTGTCTCATGAGAGTGGCTGGTGGAAAAGACCGAATGTATTGCAACAGGACTCTGCACAATGCCACACAAGCAGAACAATTTTAGCGACCACATCATCCCTTACATGTGGTCACCTAACTCTTCAAGTTGCAACCTTCTTGATGTGTGGGGCGCAGTTGAGCGAGAGACCAAAACTCCTTGTAACATCAAAAATGAACTGAAGGCAAGGATTATGGCAGCATTAATCAAGTGTTGTAGAGTGAACGAAAAAATTTTTTTTTTTTTTCGTATGAATCCAAAATACGTTCGTCGCCAATTTTTGTATATGGCGAAACGAATTTTTTTTTCACTGTATGAATTTCGAATTCTGGTCACCAAAGTTGTTATAGAGTGAACGGAAAAGTTTTCTTTTCCCGTATAAGAAACGAATTCCTCGTCGCCAATGTGTTGTAGAGTAGTTTTCACAGTGGAGGCTTGTATTTCGCTAAGTCGGTTCTAAAAGGGTCCGACGTACAAAACGTTAGGAACTTGAAATAATAGTTAATGACGCAGAAATCTAGTTGTGGCGGTTGATACTTTAATGTCCGACATCGACTGACTCACTCAACACCACTGAGCCTAACTGGCGACCGCTACTACTACTACTACTACTACTACTTATTATGTGTGGGAGAGTCTATTAATAATAGAATAGGTAATGATCTAGTATAACACCAACTCAGTCAAGGAGACCGTCCAGAACAGATGCAGGAAATTCCAAAGTCTTCTGGAGGCCGTGGTTGAAGCCAATGGCGTTTTTATTGAATAATTTTACTCTTTAGTATTTCAAGATATTTTTTGTGGAATTTTGATAAATATATCTGTTATAACTGAGATGTCAGTGTTACTTTCATTTTTGCGTAATTTAGGCGACAATTTATCCATCGCGCCCTGTAAACTGCCGATACTTGAATTTGATCGCGACTGGATTTAGCTGGGCATTATTACGTTAAACAATAAAATGCCTATAATTTGAAAGAGCAAAATGTTTTTTGTCGATGTAACCTTCTTAACATATTACATTATGTCATTTCATTTCTGTACGACAGGTGTTGGGAAATGTTTTATGGGTCTAGTCAAGTTAGTCATTCCGACTGAAATATTGCCATCGATTTTTCGAATGGACCCCGTACGTTTTTCTGAAAAATATTCAGTGCCTTCAAAATGAAAATCTGCGTTCCCTGTGTACCTGAAACTATAAATCCACACCGAATAGGAAGAATTTTATTCTGCGTGAGAATAGTTTAGATGAATTATAAATGAAAGGTAACTAAAATAATTTTATTTTTTACCTCTATATGTCAGTTCATAAATTATGTCTGTCTATCTATTTATTTGAATCTGTGCATGTGTTTATGTTTACCTGCAAGGACATGAGTATGCATATGAATGTGCATGTGTCTGTGTTACAATTTGATAGAATGAGATGCATTCATGACAGGGACTCTTGACTTTATTTTCCATTCTTTATAAGCTTAAGCCATTAAAAACATCAGAAAATTCAGATGTATTAGGTTGGTGCAAAAATAATGACGTAATAATATCGTTTTTTGACGTACTTTTCTACATCAAAAAACGGCATTCTTACGTCATTATTTTTGCACCAACTTAATATTTATAAGTTTCTAAAAAGTCCATTATTCCTATCAATAATCTATTAATGGCCATCGTTCAAGAAATGAACGGTGAGCATTAACAGGGAAATAAGCGTGAACAGAATGAATTCATAAGAAGAAATATCGTTTAGTCTATATGGAAATTCTTGAGATGAGGAATTATCGCCGTTACATATCTCTCTATTTGGACGAGTGCATTTACTTTGGAAGCTATACTCGCTACGTTTCCGTCAATTTACCCTCCGGATTTCTTAAGGTGTCGGTCATACTCGACAAGCTTTTGGAAATTTTGAAGTTAACAGTTTATTCAATCCCGGAAAAGCAGAGTGTTTTCCTTCCTCTTCCCACGTTTATGTGATAAGTCCTATAGATATATAGATCTCTATTCACCTTTGAACCGATTTACCGTTTCTTTCACCAGAGCAAAATGACTTTTGCTCACTAACCGACGCTGGGATAACAAATTCAAAGAAACCAGCTTTCAATGCGGAATAAATAAAATAAAGATGGCGTCTTATTCGTGACAGTGGCCGCCAACTGCAAAGATTCAGAGATAGATAATCTCTTAAATGTACACGAAGCCTTCGTATATAATATCAGAAATTAAATTGATGTAATGGAATAACCACTCAACCCCCCCCCCCATGAATGATTACGGTATAGGTAGTAAGTACCTAGAGACTCAACTGTCTACGAGAGACTCGGGAGGACGAGTGACAGGGAGAGGAGTGAAGAGCGAGACGACGCAAACACGTTTGACCTTCCAATTAGTGGCACTCTCTACTAGATTGACCTGTCTGTATAACTGTACCGTATTTCACAGTGTACTTTTGTATAATAAACCTTTCTTTTAGTATCCACTTGTTGATTTGCGTTTATTCCTTTAACATGGAATATAACAAAAATGGAGTCCTCTGCTGGGGACACGTAATTCGTAAAGAGGTACACGTCGTTAGGACGGCAATGTCCGCCCAGCAGATCCAGGATATTATAAACCCTAATCCTATATTGCCGATGATGGCCGTCAGTGAGTGGTTAAATACAGCGATGTTCACTGTTAGCTATGGCGTGCGCAGATACATCAAGTACAATTCGTACTAGAAGATATTAATTTTCCGGCAATTCATGTCCGACAAGACCTGAAGAACCGTGTGATCGGGAGCAGTCGTTGCTTTCAGAAATGCTTTTTCTTCGATAAAGATCAGAAAGGTTACAGAAACTAACCAGATAAAGACACACAGGATTTACATTGTCTTTGAAGATCCTGACGTACGTGAGTAACGAAAACTGTTTCATTGAATAAACATTTCATATTTGTCGCAAAGCATTTTGGACATGTGTCCAATTTTTGAAAAAATATATTGTTTTTTTAATTAAATATTTTCAAGTATCTATCTCAAGCAAATGAAAAGGAAATTAAATTTACAGGAATTGGTAGATAAATTTATCAGAACGAATTTCGAAAACAAAACACTTCAGAAATGTCTGTAAATTATACTCTGTTGCTATTTTCTATTCAAAAATGATGATTTGTGAAAAAGAAAACAAACCAATAAAAATATAATTTTTTCCCAACAAAATAATTCTATCATCGCTGAAGTCACTTCCTGGAGCAAATTATACATCATCAATTAAAAAGAGATATTTGTCATTTTACATATATTGCAACACATCGCCCATGTCTTGATACATACCATAAATATCATCTTGAGAGTTAAAAGTTATTCTTTTGAACGCTCTTTCCTGTATTTCATCCATCAAAATCACGCATTTACACTTTTTTTTTTACATTTTCTTAATTTGCGTGCGTTTGTCATATTCGCCTACTTGAGGTCATTTCACGTTTAAAATCCTAGAGCTATTCATGAATCTCTTCGTTCTGACTTTTCTCTTAAAAATCTTTTTCTCAATATGGAATAGAAATTGATTGCTACATTGGGAGCCTGTCCGACGCCGGCATCCTTTAAATCACACGAAGCCACGAGGCTTTTACAAATACATTATTACTTGTTTTGTATCGTTGCGTTCTTTCTGTCATTTAAACCACGACACAATTTATTGCAATACACGTGCAGTGCGTAGGTAGTCTACAAGGAACGGACGTTAGGGAAGACTAGGAATCCTTTGGAAATTACTGAATTTCGCGTATTAATTTTATAAATGCAGCATCATGAAATCCACTGCTGATCGCATAACACCGACGGCCTCTTTATAGTAATCTACATTGTACTTTATAAAATGACTCATGAATCTGAGTGCTTACTTAACAAGCATTATTGGTAATTTCACTTACCTAATGGTAAAATATTTTTTTTTGCGAATATTGACAGCATAATTGTATCGATGTTTTCAGCGGACATGTTTAGGAACCATAGATGAGTGAGTTGCCTTGTAAGTAATTTAAGCTTTCACATCAAATCCCAAATGAGTTAGGCTTGGCTTCGTAATGGAAAAAATCCACAAAGAGAGGAAATAAATACACAGCACACTTTGGTCTTAAACGTCCGACCTTAAAAATAAATGATCTGCCTTAGAATATTTGTAGAACGTTTTTTTAATATCTACGCTGATGATACAACGGTTTATTTCTAGATTGGTGCACACTAGATGACCAGAACTTTGCAGCTGATCTCTCCTCTGACCTAGCTCTAAGAGCTCGGGGTAGGTGGAAATGTGGCTACCCACATTCAATTCCCTGAAAAACAAACTAGTGATGCTTCCGAGCGGACCGTGAATTTTGCCTATAGCAATGCACGCGTCTTCTCTGAAGTAGCCCCCGTGGCACTTCAGTTCAAAACAGACCTCAAGTGGAAATCGTACATACGATTAATCGCTAAAGATGACCGAAAAATGGTCGGTTCCGTCTACCCACCCCTAGTAAGTACCCGGTCCCTCCTGCTTTCCTTTATCTTTACAAGGCTCAGATCAGGTTGAAAATTGAGTACTGCTGTTATATATGGGTAGAAGCTGTCCGGTCTCTATTTTCCATTCTTGATAAGGTTCCAAAAAAATGTCCACCTCCTTGTGGGTGATGGATTATTTCCAATTCTACAATCCCTTTCCTGCAGACGAAACGTTACAAGTCTGTTGCTATTTCCGTTCCGTCTATCTATCTCATTTTGTTCATTATCTATCTATCTATCTATCTATCTATCTATCTATCTATCTCATTTATCTTCTATTATCTATCTATTCATATCTATCTATCTATCTATATATCTATTTTGTTCATTATCTATCTATCTATCTATCTATCTATCTATCTCATTTTGTTCATTATCTATCTATCTCTATCTTTATCTATCTATTATCTATCTATTCTATCTATCTATCTCTATCTATCTATCTATCTATCTATCTATCTATCTATCACTTGAATTTACGGAGGTCTGGTATTGTTATGCAGTGTCTGTATAACATGCATAGTAACTTCGATAAATGAGGGTTGCTATAATTGTAAAGGTGAATGTATTTGAGACTAGCATGGTTAGAATTTTCTTTATCAGCCTTTAAAATAGCCATAAGCACCAGATATGCATAGGCCAACTAGGCCCTTTGCAGATGGGATGTTAACATGATGGTTGACTTCTGCTAGAGAATCAAAAGAGAGGAGATTTTGTAAAGTACCGTAGAGTTTCAAAGAAGAGAAGATTTATAAATTTGGATGGAAAAAAATGAATTTATTTTTCATTCCTTTGACGCAATTGATTACTGACTGTTAGAGAATATAACAAAAATATGCCATTAAAGAGAGAGGGCAATAAAAGATCAAGAATAAAACGAAACGATTGACATTGCATTTAATTTTTTGAAGTTTAACGTGGATTTGGAATCAAGGAGCCGAAAGCGTGTTTCAGAAACGAGCAGTGTGATAGAAGAAACTGTTAGCATAGAACTTACGGTTACATCAAACCATTTCAATTGTATACTGATGTGTCTTTTTCCTCTAATCTAGTCCTGCGCTTAAATTCATAAAGTCTAAGTAGAAGATAATTTATCAGAACAGTTACTATGAAATTATTTAAAGAAAATGCACAAGAAAACTACATTACAACGGTGGGAAAGTGACAGAAGTCAAGACCCAATGTCAGGACGAATAATATTCCTGATTCTTTGGATTTTATCAAGAATCTCCAAATATATAGCAAAAGCAGCAGACCATATGCGGCAACAATATTCAAACCAGGGACGAATCCTTGACTTATGCATATCTAAAATAGATTCCGGTGAGAAAGATCGTCTAGCACGATACAACGAACCAAATTTTCTTACTACAGACATAGTGATTTATTCAATACTAGCAGTAGAGCCCGGCGTTGCCCAGGGATGTAACAGTAAGAGATAGATCAAGTATCGACCATCATAAAGACTGAAAAATAAAATTGACAAAGATTATTGTTTAAGGTTGACGGACACGCATGTCTTAATTAGGTGTTTTTTTTCTACGAATTGGTCAAAACCAAACTAAAAAAAAAAAACATTGTTTTCAATCGTTATGAGTCTACTGATTGAATAGAATTTTATTATAAACAATGGTCTTGTAAATGGAATTTTTAAAGCATTCTGGATGTAAAAATAAAGAAAAAAGTGTGCAAGAGAATAAGAAACACTACCTGCCAAAAAAAGAAAAAGAAGTGAAATGTAGGAAATCCGATCCCATATTTAAAGGAACCCACACACACAAACAGCCCGATGTGAGTTGTCCCCCTTTCGTTCTCACGATGTCTCTTAATCGTGTTTTCAAATTGATTTTGTGAAAAAACAATTGTATTTTTCCCATTTTTGGCGCTGTTAGAACCACCACAAGGTAATTTTATGTAGTCCTGTGAAGTTTTGTTGAAATCGGTTGAAAAATGTAGGAAATCCGATCCAATATATAAACTTTACAGACACACACACATACACACACACACACAATCTGCGTTTTATAATAAGTAAGATACAATTCCCACTTCATGTCAGCGGGAAATGTTACTCAGAGAAGGCGCAGTGTGTTACTTTCCTTGAGGTTAGCATCAGCTATAGTGATGGATAGTAAAAAGGGTTTTCTCAGTGCAGTTTCCTTTTGCGGGCGTTAAAATTAAAAAGTCACTCCTTACCCCATTTAACAAGAGATTGTAAGTCATTTTTGAGATCAGCTGCCAATTTGGCGTTATCAGAGCGATCAGACATACTATTAAGACAGGAGTAAATACCTGTGTCATCAACATAGATACTGAGCTGACGAATTATGTCATTTATGATAACTAGGAACAACGTAGATACCAGGATAGAGCCATGGGGGACTTCTGTATTAATGCAAAAATGTTATAATCGCTGTCCATTTAAGTTGATCAATGTCCTCAAGTTAGGTGGTTTTTGTTATTGCCTAGGGTTCTTTGTTTGTGATTATGTAACGCCAATCCACAAAGGTCGAAAATGTTGGTCCTAGCTGAGATCTATAGGTTTCATCAGCTCAAAGCCATTTTAACCATTTATCTTAGAAAGCGACTGCATACAGCTGACAGTTTAGATATTTCTGAACCGATATAGCGTTTATATAAAGGTCTTGATAATGCAATAATACTAATGAACATGACACTAGTTTTTAGGTTAATGTTTTCATTTTGCAGCGGTGATATGAGAAACCTCTGACACATCTTATTTTAAGTTCAATCTACTTATCTTTCATGTTAAGTTCATTATAACTGATCCATGGAGGCTTTAAAAGGATAAAATGGTAAAAGATTTAGGGGTTAAAACATACTAGCAGTTCACTATTAACTGTAATCTCATTGAAAAGAATCCATAACTAATAAATTTACCATGAATATTACTTTGTCATGAAGATGAAAATTCTGTCTACATTCGACTACGGCTAAGTGGCCATCAATCAAGCGGAAATTGATCGCAATTATCTTATTGATGTCACGACAATCAGGAAGTGACTTTATATTATTTGGATGTTGGCAAATAATCGCCGTAATCTGATTTAGTCGAGAGCAATTTCACTTTAGCGAAACAATGGAAAAGCAGGAAAAGCAAACAGTGGCCAACGTGATGGTTTCGTAAGTGTAATTAATCTGCTATATAGGGACACTATTTCGATATGGATACAAGATAATGTTTTTCAATTGATTTCATCTTGAATAATACTTGTTAAGATAAGATCTATTTCAATATATCGATATCTATCTATCTATCTATCTATCTATCTATCTATCAAAATAAATCAATATATTTGCTCTTCTTATTTCATCTATCTTTTCATATATGGATATTTTTTATGTATTTGTTTATGTATGCCTATTCCCACACACACACACACACAAACATGCGCGCACACACACACACACACACACACACACATATATATATATATATATATATATATATATATATATATATATAATGGACCCTCCCGTTGGTTTCGACGTATGGGGATCTGACAACTTAACCAATTGATTCAGCTATGAATCTTGTGCGATAATCTTAAGTGGCACCTAAAGACTCGCAAGTAATTTGCAAAGGAGACCACATATGAAGCAAGAGTGAGGGTTGTGGGATGAGATCATTGTTAGATTGACTGGCATTTTAGATTTTGCTCTCGCGTCATGAAGATGATTCAGACTAGCAGATTGAAAATTGCTGAATCCGCTAAAATACGTTGATCTCCAATCTACCCGCACCAAGGCTAAACGCTCGAGGGTATTATGAGGTACATTGACAGCTGACAAATTGATCTTCGGCTTCTCTTTCTATCTAAGCCATGGGCGTCCTACATTCATGTAGCCCTGATCTGACTGGCTCTATATTAGGATCTTGTGTATCCTATCCTCAGACATTGTCAAGACAAGCCCAGTACACCGTAACTGAGTCTGTATGAGGAAAATCTAAATTCCTCCGATATTACACCTGTTAAACCTGTCTACATTGGATGTCCTGTCTTAAAGGCTAACTCCACATATGGCACGCAAGACAGCACTTATGGAAAACATCCAACTGGCGTATATGGTACCTGCATGGTGTCCACGACTCTGAGCCGTACAAAAGAATGGCAATGACAACAGCTCTGTAAACCCGAATTTTCGTATTCAGTCGGATACCCAGCTCATCCCACAAGCGATGGCGAAGTTTGCCGATGGCACTGGTAGCCATAGCAATCCGATGCATCATCATCTAAAGTTCCACTGTAGTTGACTTTGCTACCAAGACAGGTGAAAGGCTTTACATTACTTCAGGGGTTTGTCTTCTACTTTCAATGGTCTCTGGAAATTTGTAGACTGGTGTCGAAATTTGTAGACGGAATTGCTTCGTAGTAGGACAAGGTTGGTGCATTACTCTAGTTTTTCTTTATGCTAAGTGTAAGACCAAAGGCTTTACTTGCAACAGAGAAACGATTTAGTAAATTTTGGGCATCCTCAAAGGATGTCGCAACAAGAGCAGCAGCATCAGCAAACAATGAATCACGGAGAATTTGTGTACGAAGGTGCATCTTGGCTTTGAAGCGCTGATGATTGAACTGAACTGAAGATATAAAAAGAAGAATGAAACTGCAAACGTTTGTGGTTGTAATGTGGATTTTTAAAAAAAATATCATGCTTTATTTTCCATAATTTTGCTACACGTGTTTCCGGTCTTGTGAGCTTCATCAGCCAAAGCGTGGAGATTTCTCCGTATTATTAAAAATAATTAATTTTTTGCTTATGGTTGTCGATGTTAATTATTCTCGATATGAGACATTCAATTTTTTGTGTGTTAGTGACCCAAATGTCTCCCTTAATTGGCAGTGAAAAGTTCTGCGAGAAGTGTTAACAATCACGCTGAACATTCATATTATTTTTTATTTTATTCGGAAATCGTATCTAATATCGGTCGTAGACCGGTATACGTATATAAATTATGGACAATAAAGCATAATATTTGTTTTTAAAAATATCAACATGACAACCGGAAATGTTTTGTGGTTTCTCTATTCTTTTTAATTTATTTTCTCTCGTATTCATATATGTCTCTGCTATCTATCTCTATATATATATATATATATATATATATATATATATATATATATATATATATATTCCTATATATATATGCATTCTATATATATATATATATATATATATATATATATATATCGGAATATGAATAGAGGATAATTCCTGAAAAAGGTAAGACCTCGATAGAAAATATATATGAGCATATAAACTAATTTATTCATCAATCCAGCCATGTTTTTCTGATGAATGTATGGGTAGAGACATTGCACTCCAATTCCCTCGTTAGCCCAAGAAGAGTCATATTGTTAGATATTTGAGAAATTAGTATTAGTACTACGATGGAAATAACAGGCTATGTCAGAAACCACACCAGTCTCACCCGTTAAATGAACACACACAAGCAAGCTGAAAAGAAATTACAGAACCTGCCAGGCCCTGTACAGAAAAACTTTGTTTGAGAACATGCAATAATAATGAGTATTTTTCAAGGCATAATTGATAACTAAAAAACCATTGTTCAAACTTGACAACAGTGGACATATTCCCTTAATGAGTCTGCAACCATCATGTACAAATATATGCCACATCTGAAACGGTAATATCAACCATGACAGATCGGTATATAATTGAAATAAATGAACTATTTTATTCGTTTAAACGATCAATATTTACTATCGATACAAACGCATAATCATGAGATAATGGACGTATACAACGTGTATCACTGTATTGATTAGTTGCCCTATCTATCTGTCTATGCATGTATGTTCAAAATATGTATGTATATATATATATATATCTTCTGATATATTATTTATAGAGGATCTATATCTCTCTGGATTTCCGTTAAAAAAGTTGTCAAATCATCTATCTTCTGATCTATAGAGTCTATCAATTGCCGGAGAACCCCGTATCTATCTATCAAATATCTATCTTATCTTCATCCTGAGCTGAAGAGCTATCTATAGATCTATCTATCTATCTATCTATCTATAGATAGATAGATATCTATCTATCTATCTCATATCTATCTCATCTATCTATTCATCTATTGTATCTATCTATCTATCAATATCTATCTCATCCTGTTGAGAAGACGTCTATCTATCTATCTATCTATCAAAACTATCTATCTATCTATCTATCCATTATCTATCTATCTCATCCTGTTCGTCATCTATCTATCTATCTATCTATCTATCTATCTATCTATCTATCTATCTATCTATCTATCTCATTCTGTTCACTATCTATCTATCTATCTATCTATCTATCTATCTATCTATCTATCTATCTATCTATCTATCTATCTCATCCTGTTCGTTATCTATCTATCTATCTATCTATCTATCTATCTATCTATCTATCTATCTATCTATGTCATCCTTGTATGTGTGTATTGACACTCCTCTATAGACATTCATTTATTGATGTATCAACAGATAAATTCTTAGATTATACAAATGAATTCTTTACCACTTCATACAGATAAATATTCTATTTAATATCTACAAGTGAATCTTTCTATCTCAGCCTTTTTATTTGTATTTCGACATTGTATTCTATTTTATCGACTGTTAATGTGAAGCACGCATACATCTCATTTCAGTTTGCGCTAACAAATCTCATTTCGCTTTCACTGAAAATGTAAGTCTGTGCCTAGATCTACGTATGTATTTAGAGTCTCTAAAGTATTCTTAATCTTAATATTGCATTTCCAAGGAAGGTAATCTCATTCAATAATGTTATATATTTCGGCACGATTTTTCTGCTCGTTGTTTTGCCTTTGACTGTAAACATCTACGTAATCCATACTTGCTACTTTCCCATGGAAAGATCCTGATAGATGTAGGTCAACAAAACTATTCTTATTGTGTTATACACCGTTAATGAGCGATGAAAGATATTATCCTTTATAAAATATTTATGTCACTTATTAAAATTAGTACATTAAGAATCGATCAATTTCTTTTAATTCAGAGTTGTTTTAATGAAGCCTTTGAAACGAATAACGTTTTACACATATAAATAAACGCTAGGACATAGCCAGTAAAATCTTGTCTACCATAATTAAAACAATTAATTTTTGATAATGACATAGACGGTCGAAATTACATATTGAAAAGTTTATACACAGTTTTGATTTGCATATATAACAGTTTATATTTGAAAATTGTAGAAATATTATTAACTTTAAACAAATATACATATACACGTACACAAATACACATATAAGGAGAGCGAAGAATAAATTGTCGTCTAAATTGAAAATAAGACTGACATTTCATTTTAACAGATATGTTTACCAAAAATAGACAAAAATATCGTGAAACTCTAAACAGAAAATGTATTCGATAATGTCGTCATTGGCCACAACCACGGGTTCCATAAGACTTTGAAATGTCCTGCAACTGTTCTGGGCCATCTCCTTGATTAAGCCGGTGAATGCCCCCACTATCCTGTTGGAGATAAGAAGAGAACGGAGGAAGCAGGGAGAGTACTGTCAGACATCCATTCTACATTCCATCTTCATCTGTCACAGATGCAGAAAAGAGTGATGCAAAGATTAGTCTCTTAAGCCGCTCGAAATGCTGCTCGCAAAACATTTTTTTTAAAAGGCGCTCTACCAGTATATCGCGTGATAAATGAAAGCCTCCAACTACTAGCTACTACATGAAGAAACATATACAGAAAAAACTACTACATATAAATATCTTCCGACCCTTTTGGCCAATCCTTCGTCAAAGAAAAAAATCATTGGCAAGATAATTATTATTTTAGTATTAAGTTGTTTATATCAGTTCTATTTAAGAGGATGATTAAATATTGTAGCATCAAGTCATTGTTTAAATATGTTCCTATATATATATATATATATATATGTTCTTATGTACATCGTCTTTGTCATGTTGTATTGATAATGTTATAATTTATGAATATTTCCTGAAGATGGTTTATTAGACCGAAACGGCCGACGTTGGCATATTAACATTAAAACAGCATAATTGTATATAAGGATTTTTGTTTGTTTTTTCCGTATATATTTTTCTTCATATTGTCGGATCTATATCCATATATTTGCTTACATATATATATATATATATATATATATATATATATATATATATATATATATATATATATATTCACCGACCCTTTCGCTTAATCATTTGTCAAAGGAAAAAAATCGTTGGCAAAACAATTATTATATTAGTATTAAAATGTTTACATCAGTTCAATTTAAGAAGATGATTAAAATATGGTAGCATCAAGCCATTGTTCAAATATGTTCATTGATATATATATATATATATATATATATATATATATATATATATATATATATATTGTCACGAAGTGATAATATATAGGTGAACCGAAGTCCAGTAAAGTGTGTTTTCTTTCTCGGTGCACACTCAGGGACGCCAAACTACTCAATAAGACCAACGATAAACAAACGAAGGAATCCAATTTAATGAAACATCTATTTAAAACAAATATATATATATATATATATATATATATATATATATATATATTATATGTACTTATATATGTATGTATATATATATGTATTTATATATATTTATGTATCTATATATATATATTTGTATATATATATAGATATATGTATATATATATATATAATTAATAATAAAAATAAGTAGTTCGACTATTATGGGAGTGGATTATGGCAAATTATCCAAATAGCAGATATAAAACGAAACAAATTCAAATCAATCAAAATTACTTAAATTTGTCTTTCCTTTCTTTATATATCGTTTTTACTTTTATTTTTTATATGTAACTCAATTATGAATGTTTTTAATATGTAAGTCACGTATGAAATTTTCTTATATGTAAGTCATATATGAAATTCTTACAAAATGTTCTTTTACAAAAGTAAATTCGTTGGTAGTATTAGTCTTTCCTTGATATTGACTAATAAATAGTCCTTTAATGCATAAAACTATCCTTGTCTGCTTTTCACTTGGTTTCTGTTGTGATAATCCTGATTTCTCTTAATCTCCAATTCTTTTAGGGTTGTCAAATACTGCTGAAGTTTGGTAATCTTCTTGGTATTTTTCTTCGTTCTCTTACTTAAAGATTTTATTGATTATCAGATTTTATAGATAAAAAATAAGAACAGCCCCAAAATTCCGTCTGTCTGTCTGTCTCTCTCTTTAATGTTCAAATTGTAATTCTATTAAATTCTGATTTAGTAGTAAAATCGGATCCACAATTTTCACCCGTTCACTTCTTTTTTTATATATCGGTATTCTAACCGCAATCTTCTGTCTTTGGTTTTCACAAAATACATCAGTAAGGCTGGACACAAAATGTCGTCCACCTTGTCATCTGCACATCATGGCGGCAACTCCTCTATTTTGTTTTTCCCGGTCAAGTGATATTTGTTTCTCTCTCTCTCTCTCTCTCTGGACCGAGCACACAGAAGGGGAAGGAAAAGAAAAAGAAAAGAAGAAACGCTTAAGGAATCAGTGCATATACAAGGTCCCAATAATCTATTTCGGCCGAGCGTAGAAATGAATACAATATGGGAAGCAGAGAAAAGCAATAATAACAGCAAAATTGCAATATGAACTCAGGTAAAAATGGTTACAGGAAACATTAAGTTTCTAAGTCCCCAAAACACCCATACACTTATAAAGCGTTGGTTGGATCCAGTGACATGACCTAAAGAGTTGTGAGTTCAATACCTGACTACGGTAGTGGTGAACAAAATGTTGTAAAATTGAGTTAAAGGGAGATAACTTAGACACCCGGAAGAGGCATGTTAAGTTGAGCTAAACAATCTTCCCGGTGGACGAAATAAAGGGTTCAATTCGAAATTCTAATCACCTGGCGACGGCTGGAACCTACAACAAGGAATTAAGATGAAGACAACAGTCCGAACAATGTAAATAATTGCAATATCACATCTCAGAAATACAGACAGAAATAAGGAAAAAATCCCTGGGGCCGTGTTCTTTAATTCATTACCCAGGCAGAATTTCATCAATTTAATTTACTGTGGCTTAAAGCGAAAAACACAAACATGAATGAAGGCCTTGCCATTCAATTGAAAATGGCAAGATAGTAACCAACATCATAATACAATACAATATAAATAAAACTATATATATATATATATATATATATATATATATATATATATATATATATATATATTAGATATTATAATATATATATATTAAAGAAAAACAGACCATTTTAAGGCTCCATTGTAATAGTTTATTTCACTAGAGACCTTTTAAAGTACCCTGGATCCTCAGACATCACTTTTAACAGGTGAAACGAAAAATGAAAGTAAAATTCACACTTTTGACGGGTAGTATTAAGTTTATGTAATTTAACAGAGAGGGTAGCGAGGAGTGGTGTGAGAGACATGGTCGAGTTTAGAGAGGGTTTATTTTTATATTTCTTTCTATCATACTTATATATATATATATATATATATATATATATATATATATATACATACATACATACATATATATATATGTATATATATATATCAACATACACACACACACATATATATATATATATAAATATATATATGCAATATTCATATGCATATATATATATATATATATATATATATATATATATATATATATATATATATATAGCTAGTGTGGGTATTCATCTAGGTGGTTTAAAGTTGAGGAAGAGAAAGTGCTTGTTTATAAAATAAACCTACGTGGCAGACAAAGATCAGGAAGAAGTTATAAAGGTTGTGGTCTGATATTGAAGTCCTGTAAAATACGTAAACGTTCAGAAAAAATCAGTAAATTCAGCGAGAGAAATTGATCCTATAACTGAAACGATGAAGCAAGAGGTAAATAGGCACACATCAAGCTATTTGGAAAAAAAATGGTCATATTTTACAAGGATAACATCATGTTTGGCAATAATCCGAAGAACTTGGAAATATAGAAATCTAACATAACTGTTGATAAGCAGCCTAATGTTGAAGCAATCCAAGCATTTTGGTCAACACTCTCGTCTGGCAAGAAGGAGCACAACCACGAAGACACTTGGATAAAATGAAGAAGAATACGGCTACGAGGTCGATCTCAATGTCTTGTGACTTCTTGCTAGCACAAGCATCCCCATAGAGTTCCGTCTAACAAATTTCACTGGCAAGGCTTGGTTTTGTGTTCAGGCGCTGGGAACACCGACTGGTATCATCACGAAGTGACCCTCCTGACAAAAACGACTATGGTGAGATTCGAACATTCTAACCACTCAGCCACATGTCCCAAACGTATAAAATGTGTAAATGCGCGGCTCTCCTAGATTTATAGCTTAACTGCTTATGAATGAACTGATGTTCGAAGGTCGACAAAAACACCACAAACATCTCTCAGTCGTAAAGATTTACTACAAGAAAGCATTTGATAGTCTTCCCAATAGTTAAATTAAAATGTATTCAGAAATATGTACATAGTTTGACACTTTTCTTTTTCATAAAATGAGCCTATGGAAAACTAGCGTAGCTCTAAACGGTAGAAAGGACCGCAATGAAGGGGCAAATAAATTGTGTTCTATCCTAAGGAGATCTGTTTTTCCATATCCTCATCCTCAGTATGGCATTAATTCTTTTAAGAACAATTTTCAGCAAAACATAGAATGGGTTCAAGATTAACAACGTTTATTTTATACTAGGGCGACATTTAAGCTAACTCCTGCGTAGGTCTCTTGATAGGGCCTTCATCACAATAGGTAAGCGACAGAAAAATTCAAAATTGGTCCCTGCATTTAAGTATTGCTTTAATATTTATGCTTATCTTTTAAAAGCTTAATGATAATTCTTCTGCCGCCACTTAATTTAAAGGCATTTTGATGGACGTAGGCCCTTACTCTCCGTACAAACAATTATTTTTATTTCATGGGTGACCTTTGCTGGATTTCGCAATTAATTTCCATTATTCCCAAATGTATTTCCAAGTTATAAAAATTGTTAGCGTACAAAAAGTTCATCGCAAAAAAAAAAAAAAAAAAAAATCACGTAAAAAATCGCCGAATACAATCGCCGTAATAAAAACTTGCTAATCCAGAATTTCAGGATTTCGTGTCCGGATCCGATCCAGAATATTTTGAATTTGCTCAGGGTGTTCGACTGATTCTAAAATGGTATAATATGCCGGGCTACAGTCTCTAGGAGTAAAGTTGAAAAAGTGTGACACACTGACATTCCGATTTATTATATAGATGGATATTTTGAACATCAGCTAAAAAAATAGTGAGGATATGAAACTGGAGTTTAGTTGTTGACTTGTTTAACGGAATATCAACTCCTTATGGGCCATTTAATGCCGAAATTTAATTTTCTTAGGAACCTTGAAGTAATAAAAACATGATATATTATTCTGCTTTCACAATTGAATACATGGTAGATAATACTCAGCTTTTGTGCATATAATGTGTTTGGGTATAATTACTAGAGGCGGTGATTGTGTTTTATGATTTTTTTAAGTTATATTTTGGAAGACAGTTTGAAGACATTGTAAAATATCAGATCAATTTATGTCATGAAAGTTCATGTTGCTTGGTTGGTTTTGTTTGCGTCATGTCAACACCTTTATGAAATATTTAATGCCAACATCTAAATATTTTGAACATAATTGCATGACTTCAACTAAATGTTTTGAACACAATTGTTTGCTTTCAACTACAGATGACACGTAATAATGATTATGTATTGTCGATTTTTTTTTATATAAAAATGTATTGCCAATATTTTTACCTTTAAAATGTATTTCTATACTTTCATAGTGTTTTTTCTTTATGGGAGGGGGTTCACTATTTGCACATAGATGGGACCCTAACAGGTGATACAGTCCCGGCTCAGGGTAGACCTTGGAACAACAGCAATTAAGAGGTGGTTCCACGCTCCTCAAAACTTCCCGATCAGAAGCCTTGCTGCTGGGTGTAGTTTATCGTCATACCCAGGACTAATGGATTTTGGGATTCTTAAATGCGTGAAAACAACATTTACACAGAGAAAATTTACGCAGCGAAAATATTCTACTTGAAAACTACGCTTTAATTAAAAGTTTAGAATCTGAATAAATATTCAAGTACGTGGGAATATATGAAGGAGATGTTATAAACATTCATTGATGAGAGAAAAATGCAGAAAGAATGCTACAGAAGAATAAGGCTTATCGTATAAAGTAAACTAAATGCACACTAGAGGAATTAAGTCATATTAATATTAGCAATACCTGTGGTAATGTACGGCTTTAACATTATAAAATTATAACGGAATCCGAAAAGTAGACATGGAAATATTAATACAATTAAAAATGAACAGCGTGCTTCACCGGAATGTAGATGTAAAAAGGTTATATCTTCCAAAGGACAACAGTGGCAGAGGATTATGCCAATAAGAAAGGTCTTGAAGCTTGTGATAATGGGACTTCAATGCAATACATCAGTAACTAGGAACTGAAACTGGTACTTAAACACGAACCTACCAAATCTCTTTAATCTGCTTCCATGGAAGCTGCGATGTATCGAAAATGAATTTAAGCGACATTAATGCCCAAAATATAAATAGTTTATCGAGAAAGCAAAAAGATTGAAATCAAAAAACTACAAATTTGAGACTGAATAGCAAAAACAAACCACTTCAAGGAAAATATATGTAAAGGGTAATAGTAATAAAACAACTGCGACCCATCATTGTCTTTCCAGAACTGGCCTGTAATCTTGGACAGAAGAATTTGTAGTTGCAGGACAATATCAAAATCTTAAACCTAAAAGCCACTAGCATATCATTCTCAAAAAATAATGCAAGCATTCGTAGCTTACTTCCCCGAAAATATTGACCACTTAATATCAGGCTTCACATTTCTTAACCCCAGCAGGATATCGGCAACGCCATGACAGAATGTGCCAACATATTCACAGGGTATGAAGTGATAAGTAAAACCTACCACAGAAAAATGGTGGATACACAATTCAAATTCTATAACACATAATAAAAATATAACTCTCCCGTGGAATTTTCCAGTCCACACAGGCAGAACAATAAAAGCTGTTCATAATTGTATAAGATTTATTGGAAAATGTTTACACACTGAGGTAACAAGCTATCTTGATGCAAACAAAATCAGATCCATGTGCCTATGGCTGTGAAGTAAAATAAACACAATAGAAATAATTAGCTTTTCGTTCGCTTATCGATAGCGAAATATGTTTAGTATCTTGTCAATAATCATTACACCCTGTTTATAACAGTTTAATAATATTAGTCTTTCCCTATTGATAACTATCATATATCTATATCAGTTTATTCACATCTATCTTATTTCAATGTCCGTCTAATTATATCTATTTATTGGTACCAAGAAACTAATATTATAGATATGGCTACAAAGTAAATGTCTAGTTTATTGCTTTTGACGATAAAACGGTCTTAAATTTAAAATATAATTGCCACATAAAGTGAATTCAATTAAAAAGGAGACAAGTAGAGAGAGAATAACCGCAAAGAATAAAAAACAAAAATCAAGATTCGATTGAATTTATCAGAAAGTATTCAATACCAAATTATATTTATTTTTATATTGTCCAAATCGTGTAACAGCATAATTGTCCATCCCACAAAATGTTTAATATCTAAAAAAAAGCCTCTAAACTAAATGAGTTGCTTTTTTTCGGGTTTTCAGATAAAACGTTTAGCCATCTTGACACCATTTCTCGTAAGAATCTCTGACAAAGCCTTTGAGCTATTCAGCTAGCAAGAGAACGGTTGTTTTGTGTCAGCTCACTGTTTTCGCAATTGAACAATGGTGAGAGGAAAAAGATCATTCATACCTGCGTTAATAGTACCAGAATTCATGCTTTGGCCTCTATTTTCAAAGTACATTCAGTAACCATCAAGAGAACGGTGAATAAATTTAAAATTGAGGAAACAATAGAGATGAAAACTGGATCAAGAGGTCCCAACATGAAGAGGGATCATCATATCAACATAAAGCTAAAGAGATCAATTAGAAAAATTCCAACTTAATCCATAAGACATGTGGCACGTGTGGGAGCTATGAAAATCTAAAGGGCAGTGAAAAAAGACTTGAAAATTAAATCATATGTGAAACCTGAGAGACATTTTGTTAATCCGATCCTTAGCTATGATTAATTAATGATGAACATATGATTTTCGTTTAAGATCGATTTCATCACAATTCTTCTGTTAAACTTGGAGAGTAATAATACATTTTATCGTTCAAAGCAGAGTCCAATAGGGTTAGAAAAACGTCTGAGAATTCCAGTAAGATATCTTTAATCATTTTTAAGATACAATGTTTCAAATCTAAATCTAACAATTGAACAAATTTGCTGTCACGCGATTTTACTATTACACCAAGTGTGGCGCTGAATTTAAATGTACAATTTGAACAGAACTGATATAGACATCTGTGTTGCTGAATATACCGTTCTGACAACAATACCTGGGTAACTGGAAAATAGTATACGCCACTCTTTCCAAGTCATTTTTATGCCACCTTTATTTTAAAAATGGACAACAATTTAGAATTAAAACAATTGAGAATTTCTCATATATATAATATTTGAAATGAACAACAAAATTTATTAATAATAATGAATTAGCAAAAACGAAATTAATAATAATAATGTTTTTATAAGAACTCTTGAAGGAAATAATAATAATATTGTTTTATTTTTGCTCTCAGTGACGCAATATATACCTAACTAATAATAATATTAATAATGATGTTTTTTTTTATAAGAACTCACTAACGATGCAGGGGGGTTTTGCATAAAATTTGGAGCCCAGAGATCAGATTGGAATAGGATAGAAGAAAGGATGAGAGGATAGGAAGGATAATGGGTAGATGGATAGATCAAGGTAACTGGAGGTGTCGATTGACATTACATTTGAATAGATTATAGCTCTCAGGGAAACAGTAATTGGGAAGGGTGTTCCACAGGCGAGAGGTGCGAGATATGAAGCTATTGGAGCAGAAGAGACAGCCACATTTAAAAGTTTCTACAGTGTAAGGGTGGGAGCGGGATGCCAGCCTCGTAGGGCGCTTGAATTCATGGAGTCTGGGAACCAGTGAAAGCAGCTCATCGTAGCAATTACCATGAAAGTATTTGTAGAAAAGACAGAGAGAGGCAACGAAATATTAATAATAGTAATAATAATGTTTTTGCTATAAGATCTCTACTAAATAACGAAGAGTCTAATTGTGAGTCAGCTAAACGAAGTAATTACAAGGAACTAGACATTGAAATTCTAAAGATGTGGCATCTCAAAACTCAGACAATACCAATAATTCTAGGTTTTCCAGACTCTCCATTTAATGATTCCACATATAATCATTTCATCCAAAGCAAAGTAATATAAAAGAAGAGGAATTAAGAAATTGGTAGCGACTGACATTGCATTTAAATTTTTTTATTAAATTTTCGTATCTGGTACTGACCAAGAAAATGTTAGTAACTACTTGAAACAGTTCACAGAATTATGAAAAACAAAATTGCAAAATCAATAGTAAAAAATCATAAACAAAAATAAACACCTGACAAGGCAGTTGCGTAAAATAAAATTAGGTAATACTTTTTTTTTATTAAATCGTCAATCAAGTGTAAATTATTCAAGATGCCAAAAAATTCTTAAATGAAAAAAGATGTGAGGTAGGTCAGGTTAAAAATGTAAGATTCCCTTTAAAAATAAGGATCAATCCGAATTTGTTGTATTTGCCAAGGCAAAAAGATCAATCATTTTCTCGCAGATATGCAATTCGTTGGCACCGGCGATGGACACCTGGGATCATTTTCCCAATAGTCACAAATAAACTTAAAGCATTAGAAACCTGTGCGCGCATTTTAATTTTCAACTCGATATCAGAACAAATAAATATAGAATAAAAGTTTACCATACAAAAATATGCAACCAGAGTTGGACGTATGTCGGATTCAGTGAGTTCAGAAGGCTGATTCGGTCGACCATCTTTCAAAGAGTTTGTAGTCCAAAGAATGTTTTATGATTTGCGAAACTAACATGTTGACTTTCTTTACTGCATAAAGAGTTCTAACTTGTCAAGATTCCTGATTCTGGTTTAGTTTGATGTCCAAAATCAGGGTCAGTCTGTTCGTACATCAGCTGACCACATACAAGAATACATTTCATCTGTTTATGGAAATGTAAACCAATATAAACAAACATATCACAACATACAATGATGCAGGGAATATTTACTACATATGTAACCGACAAAAAAATTATCTGTTGAATTGCAGTTGAGATTTCAAGTTTAAATTTAGAGACAGCTCGTAAAACAACAGCAGCAACAACAATAACAACAAACAACAACAATAACAAGAATAAAAAATAATAATAATAATAATAATGATACAATTATTAAGAGAAGAACGTGATTTAAGAAAAGAAAAAGAAAATAAACTGTTTGACAGTCTTAAACGATATTTCAAGAGAATGACTGTCTTCAAGTTACATTTAAAAAAAAAAAATTTCAAGTTTAAAAATATATAAATTTATGAAAAAAATATAAATCTTATGGAAGTCTACTGTCATTATATACATTCCCCCGGGACGGGAAGTTAGTTATTTTATCGTCAGAATGACAGGAGAATTCTTTTTATTATTTTCTTAAATCGCGTTCTTCACTTAAGTGTTAAAAAATATTGGAAGACCTACGTCAATCACTTTGTTTAATAGGAATGATGATCAAATAGTAAAAGTTACATGGCGGTCTGCAGGAGCTGACATAACAAGAAAGCACGTTCTCTTCTTGTGTTCTTCGGTCACTATATCTGGGCGATTAGATGTGAGTGTTCTGTCAGTGTGTATTGGTACAGGTGATATGTCTGTAACGAGGTATGAACACCAGCAACTGGTTACCCACATCGTTGTACACCTGAAGAAGACTGAAATTTTATGATAACAACAACAAATATGAACACAATTGACCAATTATAGTGTAAACAAAAAAAAAATACAAATATGCAATAATTTATTTCCGGTGAACACTTACTTAGCAGAAGAAGAAGAAGAAGAAGAAGAAGAAGAAGAAAAAAAAACAAAAAAAAAATAACAAACAAACATTCCAGTAGACTCATTGAAGGGATTCCTGGAAGCCCATGTCGTAAAGAAATACAAAAAATGTTCTCACGAGTACAGTCCACACCTTACGAAAGGCTTCATCGATACAAAATATGTGCGTGTGTGTGTGTGTTTTAATTGGTGGAAAATGTCATGATGTCATTTCTGACCTCAGGTCACTGGGTGGGACCCGTAAAGAAAGACATAAAGGAAAATATAAATATAATAATAATAATAATAATAATAATACCAACAAAAAACGAAGAGAATATAATTTACACCGAACGAGTAAAACAAAAACCAGAAAATGGCCAAACAAAATTAAAAAAAAGAAAAAAAAACTGGGAGAACAAAGCGTCTCTAAAAAGAAAAAAAGAAAGAAAGAAAGAAATAAGCAGATGTGGACAAACAGAAAACATATCAGTGACTGAGGAGCATCCTGTTGAAAGCTGAGACAGAAAGGCTAATTATTGCATCATAGGATCAAATCCTCGTAACCAGATTCTATCATTATCATAAAATCAACGATGGAACTAACCCAAAATGCAGGATCTGGGAATATGAGGAAACTGTCGACCATATTATCTCAGGATATCCGGAACTAGCAAAAAAGTAAATATACCCACTGACATAACACGGTAGTGACATATGTGCACTAGAAGATATACAAGAAACACAAAATTGAAAAGACTGAGAGATGGTATACGCACCAACCAGACCCCAAATAACGATGTAACTATACAATGGGATATGCCAATTGAGACTGACAGAGAAATAAAAGCCAGCAGACCTGATATTATCATAAAAGACAAGAATTT